TGCTTCCGAAAAATTTGATAGATCGAAGGCACCCAATTCGGTAATTTTCGAACAAAACCTCGTTTTATACATAACTGAAAACGAACAAATAGAACAATCCAAAAATGGCACGAAAAAGCTTCGCCTGTAGAATCCAGTCGCAGCACTTTCCAACAAAGTACCGTCGCGATAATTCGAGTCAAGGCTCCCTATTCGTATAAGCAACCAATTACCATCATTCGCGGCTAGCATAGCAGGACATTTCAAAATATTGGGAAATTGTGACAAATCTGAAAAAGGGGGGGGTGAGAACTGGCCACAGACCGCGAGGGAACCGCTTAGTGTCTTATTCAGGAACTAAGGACATTGCTGTTGAAAATGTGGACGCTGTGTTGGTTTCCTTTTTTGAGTTGCTAGCTGTTTCTTATTTGTCGAATCTCAGAGCTGGACCTGGTGTGTCAGATTTGGATGTGGTAGAAGATCCACCTTGGAATGGCAAAGTGTTCGCCACGGTGATCAATGAAATGGTAAGTGTGCAAACTGGAAATATTGTTTTCCTTCTTTCTAAGCCTTCTTTGATTTCGATTTGTTATTATTTTTTAACTGTTTTGTTTTTCTTTGGTTTTATAGCTTCATTTCTTTCCACTTGTATGATTTTTGACCACTGTAATACTTTTCTTTATAGAATCCCAATTTGGACTGGTGTGAAGTCATTGATCGTCTCGACGACGTCCAAATGTTAGTGACTCGACGTCAGTCACTTATCACACTGGTCGATGCACTGAGGACAGGACTACGGGACAAACCGTTTCCGATCAACAAACTGTACACTAAGTGGCGGTGCAGGTACTGCTTAAATCAGGTTGTGATGATTGCTGGCTGAGATTTAGGGCGGATGGGTCCTCTATAGGTCTATACATATTATATTTACTTATTATAGATCCAAGATTCCTGAACAGCAAACAAGTACAAGGGCATAAGTTCACCTAGTCTTCTAAGTTCCCTTTGAGTTGAAAGCGGCTTAGTGGGATTTTTTGCCCTTGCAGATGTTAGAAGTCGTTTCTTTGAAGCGAGAGGTGGCCATTTTAGAAGTTTATCCTCGTCCAGGCCGTCATCAGTACATCACGCGGTCGCACCTTCCCCGCTGTCCTCCCCGAGCGACATAGTGTCCCAATTTGGCCCATCCGGCAGGTGTCAGACTTTGAGACCAGTTGCTAGCGAAGCGAGCGATTCGCTAACGATTGATCGTGGAGGCTGGCGCCTGCCTTATCGAAGTGACTTGCATGTATTCAAACTTCTTAGGATATCAGAAATCTTGGATTCCCATGAGGAGGAATTTATAAAAATTTCTCTTTCCCGCTAATCTTGAAGGAATATATGTCTTCATTTGCAGGGAAGCTCAGTTGTCACTAATATCGTCAATGATTGAAAATCCGGACGTATTTTGCATTGCTGACTATCCCCATAGGGCCGTTCCAACGAATATGTTGAAGAATACACCTGATGAGAGCGATCGATTACTAGCACCATGGTATGTAGGAGGTTTTGCTGGTTGTTTCATAAAGTGCTCTTCTTCGAAGTGTTGGTGAACATTCAGGTGTTGCGTGGAACTGACAGAGTTATTGTTGGCAATGGCTGGTGAACAGAATGTACAAACCGCAGCCATCCGACTGCTTCACGGTGCTTTAGAGAAATGGCCGGATGTAGTATTGCTGGCGTTGTTCCAAGTTCCGGTGTGTTTGACTAAGCTACTATTTTAGATTGGACTTGCTTTTTGAGTTGGTAGAGGCTGTCAGGTCGCAAATGTGTACTTAAATAAGTTGTGTTGGCATGTCAGCCGCACCGCGTGCGCTCGCTGACTTGTAAGCTACAACGGACACGTCACATCTTCAGTGAGAATGTGCGAGAGAATGCAGGCTATTTCTCATTTTAGCATCACTGACGGACTTGCGCAAAAGATTCAGGTGGAGATTGGTGCTTCCCGTGTTTAGGGTCTCTAACGAATGGGCTGTCATCGAGGCTACAACAGCCTTATGGAACAGTGAGGTAAATTGAAATTTTTCTTACCTGAATTTTCAGAACACTGTGAGAGGTCTCCTTGCTTCGCTTCAATCCTTAGGTGGTTTCATAGTTCGCGATCCGTCGCACGACTAGCGCGAATCGCAAAAATTGCAATTGCCCCATTTGAACATTTGAAACGTGGAGCATGAAACAAGAAGAATCGTGAACTGTTGTCTTTCGAATTTTACCATCAAGCAGAAATGGCGCAGGATTGGAAAGGGTCCCGCACGATTCCCATCGCACGGCAAGAAGGCAGAGTCGGCGGACGAGTTGCAGCGCGTGGTGTGCGATGTAGGACGTGCAGTGGCACTGTATTTAACTTGACGCGAAACCCCTATAACGCGACTCGTCCGCTGACGTTGCCTTCTTGTCGCGCGACGGGCCTCTGGGGGCTACCGATTGGAAGAATTGCAGTATATTATTAGGGCTTGTTGATTCTGTGATAGTCGCGGACGGAATCGTTGATTTGACACGAGCCTTAGGGTGTTTTAGGGGCAGAGGAGTAGGCCTATCAGGTTCAACCAGGTTCTGTGTCATAATTGACACCATCAATCAGTGGAGGGTGGGGTCTTATGTCTGAAATATGGCAGACGCCTCGGTTAAATCCGAGTGAATATCAGCTTCAGAGTTTGTAACAGTGAAATGCTTCTTAATATCCAAAAGAACGTTCCACAAATAGCCACAAATCGTATAGTTCAGATAGTGTAGACAAGTTAGAGGAGCTGTACAATTCTCTCCAGTTCGCTGTGTATTTAACTTCAACCAAAGTATAAGAAGCATCACTGCTTTGTTTCCTAGGCTATCCCTTGACAGAATGTTTTTTTTTCTTGCTCTTCTTGTTTCCACTGAAAAGGAGCACTGTTTGAGGTTCCTCCTGGCGTCCTCTTTCTTTTTCTTCTTTTTTTTTCGGTCGACCAGTTAGGAAAGGCCTATACTGCGGTATTGATCGCAAAGAAAACCCCATATACCGTTTGCAATGGCGACAAAACCAGAGGAATGGCTGCACGAAAGATTTCTAATAACTTGGGCATTACTCATCAACGAATACAGGTTCTGCCTCGCACGACAGTTCACAACATGATTATCAACGCGTTTCTGGCATTTCACTCGAAAGCGCCCGACGATCAGCAAAGACTGGCGAGAATTCTGGATGTGAGTGCTCTATCATTCTTTTTGATTATATTCGTCATCTTTTTTCTTTTTTTGCGTATTCTTCAAAGATACTAACCAGATTGCGAATGAGCTGAAACCGGGTGGTCTGGCCGAATTGTTCAGTTGTCCTCATGTGCCATTCATTGTCGAGATGGGTTTATTAGCATCAAAGCGGGATTATTTAAAACTGGACAAATGGTTGGAAGACAAGTTCGCAGAGTTAGGAGTGAGTTTGTTCAGCGTCATTTTTGCATTTTATGGGCGAATGTTGTAACTACAGGATCCTCTTGTCGACAATGTCATTGCGCAGCTACAACGACGTCTTTTCGTGCCGGCGACAAGCCAATCGCTTTCACCAGAGACATTTTCGATAATGATGACATTTCTACGAAATCATTCCACGAAATTGTCACCGTTATCGAAACAGAAGTTCATCGCGCTCACAGAGAAGCTGAAGGAGATCCAACAACAACAAGTGAGTTCTAGTGAAGTTTATCAGCAGGAATTTGTCGAACTAGCAAGGCCAAGGGACGAAAGTTGAGGAAAGCTAGAATTAATGGGACTGATCTCCAAAAGGCAGGTGGTACGATGGTTCGGTCCCCCGATGGGAATGAAAGTAAAGTGCAACAGTGGGAAAAAATAAAGAGAAGAGCTCGAACGTGTAGAAGAGTCCTTGGCTTCCTTCGTTGATTTTCGCTTCGGAAGAGTCACATCGGTGCTGACGTCATAACGTAAACGCTCTTCGCTTACTCTACCGAAAAGGGTATAGTCCGACAGCGAGGGTCCAGTAGCTGATGTAGCCTATCGCTGAGCGGGCAGAGTGACGAGGCGTCCAAAGGGATGGGTAAGCACCTGCTAGACCGTTACGGGCGGCTCTCCGCAGCTAAACGCTTATCACCCCGTTCCTTAGGGGCCTGTTTACCCTACAGTAGATATGTTTCGCGTTCTTCGACCATGAACGAAATTTCACTCATCATGCCATCTAGCTTTGAGGGCATTATAGCCCACGTGGTTCTTCCCGGTTTCCCTATCCGACAGGAGGCCCGTTGCGCGACGAGACGGCAAAGACGGAGGCGGGTCAGCAAACGAGTCGCAGCGCTTACTGTGGCGATTTAGCGTCAAGTTAAATAGAATGTAACACAGTTTGCACACATCGCACAAAACACGCTGCGACTCATCCGCCGGCCCGTCTGCGTCTCTGCCTTTTTGCCGCTCGACGAGTCTCCTGTCGCACACCCGGTTCTTCTTGTGCCTTGGAAACCATTGCTGATCACAGTAGCGCGTGTTTCTGTTCTTCGCATCATAATACTTACCGTAATTATAATGGTAACAAGTAATGAGTTTCTCTGGTGTGAGAAGTACAAGCTGCGTTTTTTGAAAAAGAGAAGTGTCCTGTATAAATGGAGCACGAATTGAAGCGCCGATTTGATTTGAAGAGCTTGATTGTTTGAACTTCCTGCCAAGGCATCTCGGAATAAATTTCACGACCATTGAAGGGATTTCGAAAGTTGGCAGGTTAGGTTGAGGACTTTCCGCTATCCTTCATGAATCTCAAGTTTTTTTTTTCATGAAACAATTTTTACTTCGAAAGGGAGGAAGAATCATTTTTGTTGACTCAGTTCTCCTGAGAGAAGTGTTGTGGATCGCTAAAGCCTCCTGTTCAAACTTCACATGATTGTTCGTCAGTTCCTCGTTTTTAAATACGTTTCACGATGTACAAATAAGAATAAAAGAGAACAGAGCATGACTGTGATCAATTTTTCAAAAAATCATAACCCTCTGATTCGGTTAAGTTAACAATTTTTTTTTTTACTTCTGTCGCGAGGTTTGTTATTGAACCTTCACTTCGGTCAACGTTTTAGTTTGCTCTCTTTTTGAACGTCGGATACTGTACGTCTCTTCCTTTTTAGCATTTCTGACGGCATATCAGAGTAACTTCGTAGGAAATTTCCAGAGATTAAAGCGATAAGTGTTAGCTTTGCGGTTCTTACGATGATAGTGTAATCAGTTTCAAGATATAACGCGAGCGTGGGGAATCGTAATTATGACTAATTTGTAACCCGCACATTGACTTGCGGGGGCCAGCCTGCTATAAAAGTGATGCTTTTTTTTTATCCTCCTAGGCGAGTCCAACTATGTCCAAGCTCGGAAGGATGGTGAGCATGTCCTAGACAAGTATCGATCTGAGATTTGAACCCTAGATCGTCACATGCGTGAACGGCGTCACCTCCAGACAATACACTCTTTGAATAGCGACGTTTTTTGTTTCGAATATGGAATACGGCTAGATGGAAGTTGTGTTAAGTAAAATGCTCTGTAGTGATAGTTTTTGGATGCCCGGATCCTTGATCTCTCGAACAGCTTAGGGCGTAGAAAAGGCATATCAGTAATTTAGTAATTTTTGAGCAGTATCTACTATCAAACTGACTTACTAATGAAAAATATTGTTTGTCTAAAGATGGTCCGTTACTCGGAGAATATTTCGGGTATGCGTCAGTGGGAAATTGAGAGGTCCTCATTTGCCTAATTGTAGGATTTTCAAGGTTTGGGTTATACCGCATGGTATGCAAAGAAGCTCTCTGTCAACCGAGAGCGGTAGAAGATCAAATCTGTTGGGTTAGCAGGAAAAGGTACACTCTTTGTGTCTTATCGGGACAAGCTTTTGAAGAAAATAAGAAAGGCGGGGATGTTGATGTAGTGTGTGTGTGTGTGTTGTACTTCTGAGAGTTTCAACATTACTAGCAACGCTGAACTGCAAGGCTCATTGGTCTGACCCCAGCCCACTGTCCTGAAGACCATACCGCTGATGATAGCGCAGTAAAACACTAGTAACACTAGTAGTGTTGCGATGGGCTTATAACTTTATGTGCTGTCTTCATTTTTTCCGCGATCTGTTACGGAGAAGAGGAAATTTTTAGAACACGCATTGATTCTGTCAACTGCCAGCGAAGCTGTCATCACGTGCGTCATTTGTAGTCACGTTGGCTGGCGAGGATGCACGCAAACATCACAAGGGAGCAACGCTTGGTCGCCGAGCTAGCCAAGATTCGGTGGTGTTGGGATGTTCAGGGTTAAGATGACAAAAGATGTTTACTTGCCTGGTTCTGTATCGATCGTTTAGTTCCTTTCCTGCTCCCATGGCGCCTTTGATGAGCCAGTGGAGCTCCGTCTTCCCCTGAGCCTAATTCGCACCTTCTTCCTGTAAGTCTGCAGCCAATTGCAGCCAAAGCTGCAGCTTTCTGTCTAAAAGAAGAACTAGGAAGAAAAATGAGTATGAAGAAGAAAAGTATGTTGATCACGGATGGAAATCGACCGCTCCACAGATTTGGAACCAACAAATGTCTGAGCGGATAACGCGCTCCAATACATGGAATCTGTCCAAATCGAACGTGAAGGATGAGAAAAGCCGCATTGCGTGGTCCTGAGTTACGTTGCGCGCGAAGCGTGTCCCCTTCCGATATCGGTGCTCGGCACGGCGCTTCCCTTCTCGCTAATATAAGCTCCGAAATTTCATACGAGTTCTTTTCGAAGGCTTCAATTTAGTGCGATCGATGAGAAGGAAATTTTTATCTTTTTTTTTAAAACATCAGTAGAATTACTCTGTTTATCCGGTGTACAGACGATTCGCATTAGTTACTAGGAATCCGGCTGAGTGGTGAGTTGGCGTTAAGTTCTTATTGAATTCAAGTTAGAATAAGGACTTTCTTTTGGATTGATAGAGGTTCCGCTTCATGTTTTTCTTTGTGATCGATTGAGTAATGTTGTTCTAACGCCAAAATTTTTGAACTAAATGTACACGGTTTCATCGATTTATCGTTTTTCAGTTTTCACCAAAGAAGGATGGGTGTTTTGTTGTGGCTGCTGTGTTTTGTTGCCACTAGCTGAGATTTTTCTTTCTTTGAGCTGTTTTGTGGACATCCTTAACTAGAAAAGTTACCAATTAATGGTGGCTATGGCCTTTCTAATCAGAGCGCAGGCGCATGATGAGTGCTGACTGGGGATCGACAAAGCCTAAAAATGCTCGCCTTGTATCGATTTTTTGAGCGGCTTCGGAGGGGTAGAGCACCTGAAAAAAAGTATTTGAATCTGACGATTTCCCTTCGAAATCTTAATAGTGCCTATTGGAAGTGTAGAATGCTCAGCACCGCTTTGAGTTTCCGGATAAGGTTTTTCTTGTTTTGTACTGGTGAAGATTTAGTGGATCCTTTCATCAAAATGACACTAAAATGTGGGGGAATCAAACCATTTTCATAAGTCTTATTCTATGCAGATATATAAGAATTTCTCTCCTGTAGCTTCAGTTAAAATTGTTGTGAGGTTGTTGTTCCAAAGATCTCTAATTTTATTCAAATGTGGCTTGATATATTCACTTTCCTCCTTTTTGAAATACAGCGCTCGGTTGAAATCAGCAAAACTGTAGGAGCCTTTGGCCTTGGTGAGAATCGGAAAGGTTACCAGGCTGGTAAGGCTCTAGGAAAATTAGGGATAGTCGATATAGCCGATACTATTGTTTTACCATTACAATGATGATAGCTAAGAATACAGAAATAAAGTATCATACAAATAGAAAATGCATTTTAAAAGGAAACTCTTAGCCATTACTTAGCTTCCAATCAGTATAAAATTACCTGTGAAGAAAAATATTTTCTTTCATGAAGTTTTTTTTTAGTTTCAGCAGTTCTTATTGTGTTGTTCATACGTGTTTTTCATACAAAAACATCTCTTAAGGCAGTCTGGTTGGGAAGAGAAAAAATATCCGAAGGGTTTTGCTTCGTATCTTTGGTTCTTGAGTTCACCCCTGCCTCCTTATATTACCAGAACCATTTGGTCAGGCCAATGTCTCCAGATTGTTTGCGTGAACTGTGCCTGGGTTAAAGATTAATAGCTTTGCTGGGTTAAAACAGATGCTGTTACCACATTCGAAAGCTCGCGTGTGATTACATGTTGTGGCAAGGTGATTAGGTGATTAAAGTTTCTAATGATTATGGTGGGCTACGCTTAATGAAATACGTGATCCTGTTTTGCTGGAAAGGCCAACTTCTGTTTTCCACTTCTTTCTTATCATCATTAGTGTTTAGGAATTTTTTCTAACCTCATGTTCTTCTTTCCAGATGCGAGAATCCTCAGCGCGGAGTTCGTCAGTCTCGTCGACTGGACGATCTCCAATCGTTGGTGGATTTGGTATGGACGCCCGATTTCCTGGACGACCTCCAGGTGCTGGCGGACCTCCGCCGCAATCTATGCCGCCACCACCGCAACCGTTTCCCCCAAATGGTGCCGGCGCCCCGCCGCCACCTCATAATTTACTGGCGATGCAGGTGGATCAATGTTTACGTCTTTCTATTGTTCTTACCTAAACGTATAAGGCTGGGATGTGATCGTGATTGGGAGATATCCTTTCCCACTTGCTTCACTACGATGTTACTTGCGTTAGGATCGAACATATTGGCTTCGGAAATTGCGTGAGAGCATGTGGGACTCGTTTGCGAGAAGGGATCACGCTTTAGAGCGGATGATTCTGTGTTCAGTTAGAAAAAAAACATTAGAAGAATGAAATACATGGACATTACGAGCGAATGTTGACCCTTCTTGAAATGGGATAACTGGAATTAGTGGGCTTTTCGTAAGAAAAACTATCAAAACAAATAGTTATGCTCTAAATATTCTGAAAAAGGTTTCAGAAATATCACTATTAATAGCTCTCGCTATATATTGGGTTGATCCATAATTCCTGGCCGAATTTTTTGAGAATCAATTTTCTTCATGTCAAATTAGTGTCATTACGAAATAAGTTAGTATGTTGAAGGAGGCATCAGTACCTTAAACTAGGATGTTCCAGAAGGTCAAGGGCAGTGGAATAAGTAAGTAGGGATCGAAATGGATCAACGACCAAAGCAGGCGATTATGCTTAACGATCATTTAAAGAAGAACCTTGCAAGGAGTGCAGTAGGCAAAGACCAGCGCTGTGTTTGCCTCAGTCTTTGCTACTGATCGGGCACTGGGCTATTGGCTTGAAAGCATCGGCAAAGGCGATACAAGCTGCAAAGTTTGACCTCATCCTAAGCCCCCAGTCACTTTCGATGAGAATCCATTGCGCTGTGAATCGGAAGTTCACCCGGACGCTACCACCTGAGATTTGTAGCAGATACCTGGGCACAGCCGATGCACCACCGCAAGCTGTCTGAATGAAAGGGGCTGTAGCAGAATGAAGTTTCGATGGGAACGGCATGCATCTCTGACCATGACCGAGAAGCAGACCTGACCATCTGCAGAAATTTCATTCTGCGCAGGCATAGCCTGGACTTTCCCTAGTCGGTCACCAGTGGAGATGAGTCATGAGTCCACTACGACAACAACACGCGGCACGCCTTATGGCTATCTCGCAGCCTGAACCCACCATCTCACCCAAAACCCAACCCCTTTCTAAGAGAATATTACCATTGGTCGTGTATCCCACTTTGAGAACCGCTTCATCTTATATAGACAACCACTGCGAAGATAACCATGGAAATAACTCCCGAGGTTGGCCGCAGCAGTGCGAGAGAACCACTCGAAACTCTCAATCTCTTCCTCCGGATGAACGCCCGACCTTACATTGCGAAGATAACTCGCCACCTTCTGAGGGAAACTGGCTGGATTGCGATACCACATCTTTCGTATAGCCATAACATTACTTCATCGCACTATCCCCTTCTCGATGCCCTGAAGCAGTACCTTCAAGAGAAAGATGTCATTGAATACAACCACCCCAAAAAACGACCTCTCCGAACTCTTCAACCCATAGCTCCACTCGTTTTGAGAGGAATGCACTCCATTCAGTCACTGCCCCTGCAAACGGAAACGCATATCCAGCGACTTGCTGACCGGTAATTATACCTCGCATGAACTCGTATCTCCCTCCCAGAAAGAAAACAACACACACTCGAATCAACATCCGAAACGTCCTCCGAATAATTCGGCCAAAAATTATGGATCAGCCCAATACGCATGTAGTGCTTTACTTCCCGCACAAATAAAATAGTTCCTCCTATGATTAGAGGGACGGGTATTGATCGAATTGATGTGTTATTTCGCTCGAAAATGAAACATAAGGTGCGAAGAGGATCATCAATGAGCAGAAAAGCAAGAAAAAAATATGAAAAGTATTTAAGTTGTGCGCTTCCATTTTGTGTGAGCTCGGCCGTGGTACGACGGGAAGAAGCAGCGCATCGGGGAAATACAATATGCGAGAGAGCGCCCTGAACCGGAGGGCGCAGGCACTGCGCATGCTGCGAGTGAAAATGGCAGCGGCCGCAGCGATCAAGGCAAGACTTTGCGCCCTTGCCGCGCACTTTCACGTCGCGACAGTAAAAAAAAACTTCTGTGCCTAGGGTTACTGCAACATTGCTCGTGGAGGGGGTAGCTCCAAAGATTGTGACCCGTACCTTTGAGCCACAGTTCACTAAGTTTAAGTTCACTTTACACATTGGCGCTCTCTCTTCTCGGCTTGAAGAGCCCCGTGCTAAAGTACCAGATTGGGAAGTTCTAGTAAAACTACAAACATGGGCATAAAGTACTTTACTTGGTACAAAATTTCGAGGATGCATTATTTCATCGCTGAAATTTAACAAAAGCTTTTGTTTTCGATATCGAAGGCCGTAATTCAAGTTGATAGTAAACGTGGGGAAGCATTCAAGAATGCAAAGTGTTCGTTGTGAAAGCAAGCAATTCTTAATACTGAGACTGCTCATATTTGCATTTCAGGCTGGCCCCCAACAGCCTGTATCGAATCCGGTTGGACTAGGTTCTATGTTCGGTAGCAATGCATTCGGTGGAAGTCAAGACTTACTTCGGGTAAGTTATTCATTACAATAATGAGCGAGGATTTGAGGCAAGATTTTTCAATGAGGCTCAAGCGAGAACCGGCAAAGTTTTGGTTTTACATGCAAAATTTTTCTAGCCTAATACCACAGCACGCATTAATTTTGTGAAATTTAGCTCAGTGTACCTTCAGGCTTTTTCAAAACCCTATATGATGATACTCAGAAACAATGGTGTAAGATTAGTTGTTCAGACTTCACATCCTGGTGCAAATCAGCCGTTTGGCGGTCAACCAATGGCAATGTCGCCGTCTTCCCAAATGATGCGATCTGGTATGCCGCCAGCGCCTCAACGACAGGTAAGGGCATGTAGTAACAACAATAATACGGTCCATGATCGATATTTGTTGAATTTGTAGACAATCCGCAGTGGCGTTGGTTGGCAATGCAGAGGGCCGGGACAACAGGAGTCACCGCAACTCTCAACAAATGGATTTTTTCAACCACAACAACCTAATGCATGTTGCAGTGGAGTATCTCACAGCAAGACATGTCTTCATTGTTTTCACAGTCGCCCACACCGCTCAGAGCGAAACCATAGACGAAAAAACTGGTGGATTTCTCATATTTCAAATCTATGAGCCACTTGTTCTGGTTTCAAGTCCATCGCTCAAATCTCACATTTCATTCATTTTTCTTTTACATCTGCCACTTGTCGCTGGCACAGGGTATCTGTCTTGTAGACACTTTTAAGCAGCTATCTGCTTACGAATTCTTTGTCTGATTCTCTTACGCCATCTTTTTCCTTCTTCAGTCCTTTTCCTTTCCAATGAACGGTCACCCTATCCGTCTTGATACTCTTCGGAAATTTTTTACGACCCGATCCCCCCCTTCAGGGGTGGTTTGATACGACCCCCCCTTTTGTATGTAACACTTGTGTAGAGACAGTGTTTACCATCAATATTTATTTCTACGTAAGTCATTAAAGATGAAACTTTAGCAAAATCCACGACAGAAATTCATCGCTGCTTGCAAACACGAAAAAATGAGATGCATTCAAAGATATCCGTGTACTCCAAAGGGTTACCAAACTAGGAGATGAAATAAGCTGAACCAGTGACCGTAATATTGACAACATTACCTGATAAAAACTTATAAGAAGTCAGAAAAAATTATCGCTCCAATTGAAATAGTGAAATCCTTCACGTTCTTCAATTGCAACACAATAATACACAATTTTTACACCCCTCTTTCTAAGGCTATAACTTCCTTCATATTCGAGCTTCAGCGCCGAAGTGATTTGATTTGGAAAATTCAAATTATTCTCTCTCCAACCATGGGTAAAAATTCTTCGAAAGTTAATTTAATAAAAATTTAGTACGTTGTTACTTTTTTCTGTGCAAAGCGACTTTTTGACCTTCAAACGATCATAACTTCCTTCAAAGTCATTCATTTGGGAAGCTGAACACGTATAATAAACTACAGGATTCAAGCTTTCTAAGGAGCACCCAAGCGTTCCTGAAAGATCAGTAGTTCAAAAATTAGTCCCGTTGTTACTTTTTTGGGGGTTTGCGTTACTATTTTTTTGGAACCGCGACTTTTTGACCTTCAAACGATCATAACTTCCTTCAAAGTCATTCATTTGGGAAGCTGAACACGGGTGATAATACACCACAGGTTTTCCCACAAAAATTATCTGCGAGCAACCCAATCGTTTTATGAAGATCGAGTTTTCAAAAAATTATACCCGTTTTGTTCTTTTATTTTGTGGGTGTATCTTTCAAGCCATTCTTTTTTCTTTTTGCGAAAACGGAGTGTTTCTTCTGATTTTTGCACTGACCCGTAAACTTTTGAAGACATTTTATGTTTTTCAAAGGATTCATGCTAGAAAGCTCCGAGCATGCGCTTGCACTACATCCCTTGCCTTGGTGCGCGCCACGCCTCGGGCGCCCTTCTAATTCGCTGATTCATTTGAAAGCTCATTTAGAGGGAATCGTGGTTTATAGATGCTGTATCAGTCATCTTACGAAAACGTAACGTGCTGGCTATTATCCGATATTACCAAGAATCCCACTGTCGGCCACCGAGAGGGTACGACCCCCCTCCCTCCAAGCTCAACTGAGTACGACCCCCCGTTGTTACTCGTAACAACGTAGGGTTGACCCCTGCTATGAAAGTAGCTTTTCAAGTCTCTGAGTTGCCTTGGTCAAGAAACAATGCCCAGAGAGTCCTGGTTTTCACTGCTCAAGAATGTTTTTTGTTTCCGAACCGTCTAGATTTTAATTCCTTTTTAATTTCCTCTCATTGTTTCTCACTTCCATTCTTCCATGAGTCTCTCTATTTGACTACATTGAGACCTTTGTGTAATTTGACTCTTTTTCATACCTTTTTTTACATTCCCTTTCAAGGAATTCGTGCTTTTCCTTGCCGACTCATTTTTTTCTTCATTTTTTTTTGCTCTTCTCAGATTTCGTCTCATATTTCTCCAATAGGGGTCGTGTGGTATCTTTCTGAGGAGGGACCAAAAAACCTTCAGAATTTCTGTTCTCCCATCCAGGATTGCTCTTAGGAAGAGCATTCGTATAGAATTTGTCTATGTGAAAGACAAAATAAAAACAAAAGCGTGCTAATGTTAGAAGCTTGTTTGCAGAATCAAATAAATTCAAAAAGGTATTCATTCTCCTTCTCCCTAGGGAAGAGCATACGGTCCTGGATTTGCTTTTTGCTCCGCTATCGCAAGACGTGTAATTAAGGTTGATCTTCGTTCGGCGCCAATGCCATTAGGTGCAGGTCCTGTCGTCATTGATGATATGAACTTCCCAAAGGATGTGCAGGATGAGGCCAACATGTACTTCGAGCAGGTATCTTTTTTGAGTAGTATTGGATCATGCATTTTTTCTATCGATTTTATTTGTTTTTTTTTCAGATTTACAACCAGTCATCTCTTGTGGGTGATTTGATAATGCGCTTGAAGGGTTTGAAGATGTCGCAGAATCCTCGAGATCAAAAGGCAAGTACCGTGCCGTGGAGTTTGGTGATCTCATCGAAATTGCTTGATGTTTAGGTTCTTGCGTGCGTTGTGAAAAACCTCTTCGAAGAATATCGATTTTTCCATGAATATCCTGAGCGTGAATTGCGAACTACTGCTGAGATCTATGGTGGTATTATAAGGGAAGGAATAATCAGGTGAGTATCGCTTTTGCTGTGATCAAATTCTTCAATATAATGAATTGTTTTACAGTAATCTGCATTTTGCAACTGCTGTACGAAAAGTGATTGAATCTCTGCAGTCAGAAGTTGGTAGTATGTTGTGGACGTTTGGAATAGTATCATTGACAGCTTGTCGGTCGAAGCTGTGCTCCTACCCGAAGGTAAGCAACAGGAATTTTCTCACTGTTGTTCCGTACTTTCTACTGTTTTTCTTTTTGTTGATTTGTTGAGTTTTTCGTTTCAGGTCTGCTCAATGATCGCACAACACGAGAATTTCTCGAAGTTTCCGCAAGGGCTCAAAGAATACGTGTTGGCGGGGTTGAAAGGAGAGCTACCCGTCCAAAGCATGGCCCCACCACCAATGGACTCGAGTGGAAGAGCAACACCACCTCTCAGTTGGACGCCAGCACAACGATCTTCGAGCACAGAAAGTGCTAAGGTAGGACACTGGGTACGATTTCTGTAACATGATTGTACTGTAGTGCCAAGCTAAAGCGCTATCGAGACGCAATATTAAATAGAATGAGGAAACTACCTCTATGGGCCAGTTTGAGATGGGCGAGCTTGTTTGTCGCTCTTGTCATTTTTATGAGTGAGCTGGGAGCGCTGCCAGGCCTTCAACACGCGATATCGAACACAATTTCGGTTTCTTGTTTGTCATGGCTAGCTGCGTCCGCATCCAAATTAATGGGACGGCGAAGTTGATGATGAAATGAAGCTTACAAGGAAACGATGGCAAGGTTGAAAAGAAAAAGTGGTTGGAAACCTAAGGGCTTGTTTCTACTTGAGCATTTCCGTTGCAATCTTTTTTGAAATTAATACATCCATGTCAGTGCCTGGTAGTCGCCTGCCATCCATTTGTCATAATTTATTGCTGTTTTTTGATATCCAAACAACAGTTTAGCCGTTTAAGTCATTTTACAGATTAGTAGAATCTTTGCGCATGTTTAGTATTTTATCTACGTTTTTTCTCGTCATTTACTTGGCAGAATCTTACGGATGGGGGTAAGGCGGCAGCAATATCGCGCCCATCCGACCAAAAAGCGAAAAATGGCGCCGTGAATGTGTTAATCACACCAAAAGGCAAGAAGAATTAGAGATCGCTGAGAGTGCATGATGTCGAAGGGAGGATAATCCAACAATTGCGCAAAGTTTTGACCCTGCGTTAGTTTTTATAAGAGGAATGTTTGATTGATAACTTGTCACCTGTAACCGATATCGGATTTCGTACGCGAGAGGAAGGCAAATAAAGAAAGGGTATCCTGATTGATGTGTTTGCCTACTTGTCAAACTCATTTTTCTTATGTTTCAGCAAAAAAAACCCTCTCCAAATTCTCACTCGCATTCAACGGAGTTGTGTCCATCGTTTTCGTTACTGGCTCGGACGGCTGCTGGTATTTCCTTAAAAACCCCATTGAGAAACCTATCGATCAAAAGGCGTTCCAATTTTGAACATGGCAGAAAACGACGTCATCACACTCATCACGGGTTTTTTCGAAAGGCCAATATCGATAGCTGTGTAGCATTGACTGAAAAAATGAAATAGTGTGCAGAGCGAATGCCAGCGAAGGAGAAGAAAAAGAAGAATATAGTTCATTGAAGACTAAAAGGGCCCTTTTCTTGGGTTTTGGACCAAATCTACCGAAGTAACAAATACGGTGCTGGAAGATATCCATCAAAACCGTGATACCTGCGTAATTTCACAACAAGTGCGACCGTTAACTCTCGATTCACAGTAACAACGGTTGGACGGCGAAACCTAAATGCGAACTTCGGGCACATTGCCAATGCCCTTTTGCATCGCGAGAGTAGATTGCCTGAAGTTGGCACCCCCAGTCATTTCCTTTGTACAGACACAGGATATCTGAGATTTGTTTCTTATTTCTTTCTGCTTCTAGGGACTTCTGCAAATTGTAGGAGTGTGAAATTTTTCATAGTTGTCAAAGCATGTAGAATTCCATATTGTAGACATTTTCAGGCAACTTCGAGCAGTACTAGTGTTGGAAGTACAAATAGAACCGTGAGTTTTCAAATGTTGTTTCTTATCTTGTCGTTCTTTGGTTGTTAAATTGGAAATTTATATTGATTGCTCAAATAGGAGAATGTCAGAAAGTGTAATTGCCCTTTATTGGGAACTGGCTTCCATTCAAGTAGATCTTCTAGCCTAAAGGCAAGCTTCGGGATAAAAGTGGATGGAAAAGCGTTCAGTTATCCTACTATATATAATCCATAGGTTGTTGGTGTGTGTGTGTGTGTGTGTGTGTGTGTGTGTGTGTAGGTGTGTGTGTGTGTGTGTTTGTGTCACGAAATTCATAGCTCGGGTCACAGCAACGATAGCGCAGTGGTTCTTACATATGTTATAGGGGGTGGGATGGGGACACAAGTGGTACGTGATAGGAACTGATAACGACTGATAATAGCTGATAAGAGGGGCTAGAAAGCGAGCATCGCCAATTTCGTTTTGTCGTTCATATTGGTACTAGAGCGTCTATACTTACAAGTGTTATGTAGGGTGGTCCCGGGACAATGGTGGTACATGAATGGAAGCGATAGCAACTGATAAGGGCTGATAAGGGGCGTCAGAACGCAAAAGTCGTCGATTCCGTTACCTGGCTCGCATTGACACCAGAGCAACCATGCTCACAGGTGTTATGTGGGGTGGGACGGGGACATTGTTGGTGGGTGATTGAAAGTGGTTACAACTGATAAAGGCTGATAAGGGCGTCAGAACGCAAAAGTCGTCGATTCCGTTACCTGGCTCGCATTGACACCAGAGCAACCATGCTCACAGGTGTTATGTGGGGTGGGACGGGGAACATTGTTGGTAGGTGATGGAAAGTGGTTACAACTGATAAAGGCTGATAAGGCGCGTCAGAACGCAAAAGTCGTCGATTCCGTTACCTGGCTCGCATTGACACCAGAGCAACCATGCTCACAGGTGTTATGTGGGGTGGGACGGGAACATTGTTGGTAGGTGATGGAAAGTGGTTACAACTGATAAGGCTGATAAGGGGCGTCAGAACGCAAAAGTCGTCGATTCCGTTACCTGGCTCGCATTGACACCAGAGCAACCATGCTCACAGGTGTTATGTGGGGTGGGACGGGAACATTGTTGGTAGGTGATGGGAAGTGGTTACAACTGATAAAGGCTGATAAGGCGCGTCAGAACGCAAAAGTCGTCGATTCCGTTACCTGGCTCGCACTGACACTAGAGCTCCCTACTCACAAATTCTATTTGTAGTGGTACGTGCACACTGTATCAATTGGTAAATGACCAGCCTAACTTATAGAAAGTCTATTGCAATAATCATTGCCAAAGTTATTTTCAGCAATGATAACTTTCGTTCCTATCAAGAAAGCCCAAACTCATTAAACCGCTAATCCTTTCGGGGTTCTAAATAATGGTGAATGTAAATAAATGATAAGCCTTAGCTCCTCACTTATGTAAACAGGCATATTTCATTTTCATTTTGAGACTGACAGCAATCCTATTCACCGCTAAATTATCTGAATTCAAGAAGAATGGTGGATGTTTACAGTTGTGAGATAAATATGCCAGTTCAGCTCCAGACGTTATCACGCGTATTCTCGATGGACTTCAGCGGAAACTGGGAAAAGTCTAACACATTCAATAGTGAGGTGGCTAATGGAGGGCCTCATGCTGATATTCCATGGGTCTTTCAGTTTCACTAAAGCCTGCGGTGTGATGCGCGCGATAGCGGGCGGAGCAAAACTGGAGCTATAGGTTGGGAAGTGGTCTGCAAAAGAGAAGGAAAGCAAACGAAACCAACTATTGTGCCCCGTACGCAGATCTTCTCTATTTCAGTCACATTCCGCCTTGGAATAGGGAAGAGGCGAATTGGACGAGTTTTACGACCCTAAGTTTAGTAGCTCCAGTGCCAACGTTTGGTATCTCGATGGGACGCTGCCTTAATGGCCGCCCGCTCGTTTTTCTAAGCCAGGCAACGTGGCAAGCGACAGCGGAAGGGGTGGTGGGGTGCGGACGTATTGTGCTTCGCGGTTTGGACGACTTGCTTGCAAACCTTGTCGGCAAACTTCAAGGGGCCAAAAAGGCGGCGACATCAAACATTGTCCCCTGCCCGACTAACCCCTGGATAGAACAGGCGAGCATGCCTAATCTCGGAGCGTGCCTTCAATGTTCTGGTGTGGTTATCTATCTCTTTGATATAACTTGCATACTGTCCTGGAAGAGAGGCCTTGGAGTACTTTTTGTGTGGTGGAATGTATAGAAGAACGCAAATGCAAACACACATAGTCATTATGGAATCGTTGTTTTAAGACCCTAGATCTCATAGGAATACACTATTTCAGGGTAATTCGGTGCTGTCGTATACGAATGTGGACACTCTGGTGTCGGCAACTGAAAAGGAAGGCGCCGAAGTTGCGCAGCCGGACATTTCAGTCGTTGACAAAGTACTGTTCCTGTTCAACAACCTCTCGCAAAGTAATTTGACAACCAAAAAGGATGAGGTTGGTAGTATGCTTTTCTCGTTAATTAGGTTTCGGATGAGATTTTTTCGGAATTACAAAATATTGCTATGATATTTTTAGGTGCTAGCACTAATTGATGAACACGGTGAACCGTTCATCCGATGGTTTGCCCAATACGTGGTTATGAAGCGGGTGTCGATTGAGCAGAATTTTCTGCCACTGTACAATCAATTTGTGCAAGCGATAAATCATCCACTTTTGGATGCTCACATTAAACGAGAGACGTTCAGGAATATCAGGGTAGGTTATATGATCTAAGTTGGGACGGGAAATCGCTGTTTCTGATGTTTTTGCCTATATTTTTTATTGCCTTGATTTTAGATCTTGTTACGATCAGACAAGCGGCAGGCAGCTTCGAATTACAGTGACCGACAGCTGTTGAAGAATCTGGGCATGTGGCTGGGTTCCATCACAATAGCCCGTAATAAGCCTATTCTGATTCATGTGAGTTATTTGGGTGTAGTGCTTCAGTCGTAATTTGCCATTGTGTTTTATTGAAATAAGGCTATGCTATCCTAACAATATGTTGAGTTTATCAGCTTGTAATATTACGGCATTCTCACTTCGAGCCCTACCAGTTTCCCTAGGTTTCCTTGAATCTATAAAAATTTCGACCAAACGCGAAGCTGGGTGGTAAGAACTCACGCGAAGAGTTTCGGGTTTTGGTTAGGGTTTTGCTTAGGGTCTTGTTTGAGAGATGCAGAAGGCTTTTAGTATGTTGATGTATTCTAAACAAGCTTTCTTGCGGCAGCTGTTAGAACGCCATAATTTTAGGAATTGGATCTGAAAGCACTACTTATGGAAGCGTATTATAAAGGACAGCAAGAACTTCCTATTTGTCGTTCCTTTTATTGCGAAAATATTGTTTTCGTGTGGTAAAACGCAGGTTAGTTTTTCCCAAATTGTGGGTTTCTTTATATTAGTCGACATCGAAGAGAGTTTGCTGTACAAGTACTATCGTTTTCATGTTTCAGCTGTTCAGCGCCACTTGTGCGTGGATACGTTCCATATTGAAAGTGTTAGCAGAACTACATAATGAACCAGATTGAAGACTCAATTTGAAATTTTGAATCGAGGTTAAGCACAAATGTAAATCATTTAAGTGTTTGGAGCTCTGTTTCGTCTCTTTTCTTCTAATAGGCCTAATTTTAAAAACTTACTTGACTTCTTGGAGGGATACTTCAAGTTTTCTTTTTGCTCATTCTAGGCTTTTTTTTACCGCGACCGTGTTCAAACTGTAGACGTTATATCTTCTAGCTCGGATTTTGAATAGTGTGCTTCTTTTGATCCGCGATAATGCTTACAAAGTTTATTTTAGGTGTTGTGCAAAGAGCTGTCAGTGGATTTGGAATCATTACCAATCGAGGGCTTGCTGAAAGACACCGATCGCCTTGTCAGGGTCACGCAACAACTATCAGATTTGAAAACCCTTTCACAACCGGATCAGGCGAACAGCAGTCCTGTACCAGGGCAAATGCGACTTGCACCAGATGCAGTGTCTGCTCCGGGAGCAGATACGAAGGTTTGTGTCCACAGTGATTGTCACCCTTTGTTTCCTCAGATGTGGTAGTGATGGCATGAATTCCAGCCCTCGACTCCAAATCCCGAATCAGAGGGCTCGTCGGCAATTGTCGATGGTACAGCCAGTGCTGTCATCGTACCACCGCTTCATTTCGCATATCACGACATCAATGTGACGTCATATGAGGGTCTTATTCCTCATATCAAGTTCCAACTGTCACTTCCGCTGTTCCAAGTGAGTCTTTCACTACAGAAATAGGTTCTCAGATTGTTCAACTAGCTTTTCTTATTTGATACACTAATTTGTCGCATACTTCTTGGTGTAAGTTTTCTTTATTGTTTGTGTTTTAGCTCCACCCACAAATGAAGCACCATGTCCGACCAGCACTTACGCAGGCCATCAAGGAACTCATAGGTTGGAAAGTTATCTTTTCTGATGATAAATCTCAGCAGGAGCTTCTATTTTCCTTTCTCCCATTCTGTCTGGTCACGCTTAATAAAGTAATTGCAGGGCCAGTGGCTGAGCGAGCTCTGAAGATTGCGATGATCGTGACTGAAACTCTTGTTCGCAAGGATTTTGCTCTCGATCCAGATGAGAACAACTTGAAGAAGGCGGCATTTCACATGGTAAGATTTTGGGCGCTATCGCAAGATACGGGGGCATTGTGGTGGCTATGTATTTCCCCGAAGTTCCTGCCCCTCCCAGGCTTAGTCGAGTATGCCCCTTATCTTGCGGTTGCGTCGATTTTTTTTGGAGAAACTGAGTTGAATCGAATTTGAGGTTGAGCTCTAACTGGATTGTAGTCTCTAAAAACCCTGACTTCAATTGCCCTAGCCGTTAGCTAGGGTTTAAAGTTAGTTTGAAACTTCCGAAACTTTATTCCTTGATTGTAGATGCGTGCTATGACAGCTGGTATGGCGATGATCACCTGCCGTGATCCATTGGCCGGCACGATGGCCTCATTGCTACAGCAGTCTTTCACCAATTCTCTTCGAACGTCGAACTCTGAACTGGTTAGTACTACGCTGATGGCACAGTATTTCTTGTTGAGTCAGTGAGTGAGGCCATATCTCACCAGTTACGTCTGTGGCAGTCTTGGCACGTGGCGAGCGGTCGCCGTTCGATTTTTTGGTGGACATTTCAAATCAATAATAAGATGTGCGCTTAAGAGGGTATCCGTCCGATGACGTTGCCAAGATGAAAAACTAGTTGCGAAGGAGCTTGGTTGCCTATCCGATCTCTGCAAAATCTAAGAATGAAACTGTTTCGCACTGCCACCGCAAGCGCATTATGTCGTCTTTTTGTTTTCTTGTAAAATGGTGGTGCAATATTAGGCGTATCCATTTTGTTGTGGTCTCATTTCTGCTTTGTTTGCGTGATTTAGTTGCGAAAGAGTGGATGGTAGTCAAAGCTCATGTGCTGTTTGATCAATTGGAATAATTTAGTCGAAGATGATCGATGAAGCGGCACGGGCAATCACACAGGATAACATCGAATTGACCACGAATTTCATCGTGAAAACAGCGTGTGAAAAGGTAACGTTCCTATCGTTTTTTTTTTATTTATAAGTGGTGTTTGTGTAATCGAAGAAGTCATTGGGGTAAATGTGACTCAGTCCTGAGTCACATTTGAGTGAGTCAGCGATCGAGGTGAACGATATGTGCTTTATTTGACTGCCGCTGTTCTCTTCAGGCTGCTGCCGAGCTGGAAAAGCGACTGGAAGCTGAATGTGCACGTCGGGTGGCGGCTCGCCGTGAAGGAACAGAATGGCACGACACGACCATGGAGAAAATCCAAGCTGAACTTCCGGCTCGAATCGCCATTCAAGTCGGTCCAACGCGAAAGGAACATCTGGCTATCTATGAGCAGTTCAGCGGGTGAGTTGATTGTTTAGCTGTTATTGAGCTTTCTTGAATGATTTTGTTGCTATTTTAGACGAATCTGTGGTTTCAAACCAACGATCAGTGAAGATACTTCGACATCGGTTATGGAGACGGTCAGCAGGAGCAATGACTCTCCCAGAAACAGCCAAGGAGGTCGAGCAGCTCACCCAACAACTGAACAGCATCATCAAGGAGGTGGACGTTACCATGCAGGCCCAACCGAATCTGTCGAATAAGGTGAGTGTCCGCACATTTAATTTTCTGAAAACTTCCTTGTACGTCCATATCTCGTCGACTAGGTGTGTTTACTGATTTGTCGATGTGGCAGCCGCACTTGATAGAAGTCGCGTGGATAAGCTGTTTCCAATATACAACTTCGGAAATCAGCGAAGTATGCCAGAAACAGCTTATTTGCGCGACTATCAAGGATGGCAGCCGTCGCCGATGTCAGTCTTCGCGACTGGAGCGATTTTGCACAAATAATGGAAGCCGTTAATCGTTCGGGGCGTGGCGGCAGTGAGCGATTAAGTCGCTGCCACGCCCCCTTCGATCGATACCCTTGGGTGTGGTGGTGCTCATCCATAACCCTAGATAGCTCCTATTTCCAGTAACCAGTAATTGGATCGAGATATGGGAGAACATCTGGAGCTGTTCTGGTTACTGAGAAATAGGAATTGTCTAGGGTAGTGCATGGACACCTCCCAGCCCAAGGGTATCGATCGAAGGAGGCGTGACAGCAATTACTCGTTTCCTGCCACCATGGCCCGAGCGATTAATCGCTCCCATCATTTGTGCAAAATCGCTCCAGTCGCAAAGTCTGACGACGGCCGATCCTTGACACCTTTACTCGGACGACAAGATATGAATTGTAACGGAGGATTATTTCAGGCATATCAAGGCGTAGGGGCGATTCGTGATCTCCTCTCTCAACTCGCATCAAATCCACGAGATTCGATGACAGTTGTCAATCTGATCACCCGTTCTGTCGAATATCTTCTCCATGCGTACCATGTCGATAGCACCTCAAAACGTGAGCAAAGATTTATATACCTAGTTGATATCTGTAGTATACGTCCCCGCTTTCAGCGCTTGATGTCGAGTGGGCAAGACGTCTTCGCGATTTGTTCCTCGGTGTCTGCCGAGTGTTGCTGACGCAGTTCAGTTTGGTGGATTTGTCGAGACGTATCACAGGTAGCATAGTTAACGTACGAATGGATTACAAATGGAATGTGGAAGCGATTGAAGTGAGTTTAAAGCTAGTCAAAAAGTTCACCCACACAGTTGTTGTGATTGTCGAGGATTTCGTTGATTCAGGTGCTATTGAAACATCAACTGGTTCAAACGCAAGTGTTCGACCAACATCTGGCTCATGTTATGGATGGAGGCTCGAATGTGGAGGCCACTTTGTTCGCGCAGCGATTTTTCCGTGTCATTGGATCGAATGACGCTTCGAGGATTCCCGGTGATCAAAGAGGTAGGTAGTGTGAGTGATCTTACAACTCGTCTACGGCGAAATTTCACTGGCAAGGCGTCTAAAACATGGTTGTAAATCGGTGTTCCAGGCTTTCCCAGCTACCTACGAGCAGCTTTTCAAAATGCAGCAGGTGCAAGCGATTTTGCGACAACAAGCTGCCGCTGCAGGAGGAACAGCTGAGCCAAACCTGGATTCACCTCTTGGACCAGCCGCAATGGATTCATTGGTGACGTCGAATCCAGCCGCCACTGGTGTACCACCAGCTGTCCCGCCATCCGCAGAAGAGCCAGGAATGTCAGATAAGGTCAGTTTGTTTGTTGGAGATTTGATTAACTCGGCTGAGATGTACTTAAAGGCACATGCTGCAATAAATTGACTGGCTTTCTAGTGTAAGATTAGGTGGTTGCGTGGTTGAGAAAATTCAGAGGAAAACAGCCTGAAAGTCCCGATCTGAGACTTTTTGTCCTCTAATTTCCACTCTGGATGAGATTCTATTACTAGCTACATCGTCAACTAACCGCTTCGCTCTGCCCAGCCGCCAAAAGGGCTGGAGCCCGTCGGCGTGAGGGCACATTCATAGTCGGTCGTCCGATCGTAACGATCGCACAGCATTGGATGCGTATCGATCGTCAGACGTGTCCGAGGATTGGACGATCGATACGTACCTAACGCTGTGCGATCGTCACGATCGGACGACCGACTATGAATGCGTCCTGCGGCAGCAATCAGGGCCGTATGCAGCAGTACCTGGCTGAAGACGGGCCCTAAAACTGCTTCACTGGGCGCAACAAAATTCATCCCATCTTATCCATGGAGGGATTGCTCCACTCGATTCAGAAGTAGAGGCGCAAATTTTTGGGGCCCATTCCCAGCCGGATACTGCTACACACGCCCCCGAGGGCGGGCAGCGGCGCAAAGGCGTTTCGAGAAATGGTTGAAGGCTTGATACGGCAATCTCTTATGAGGCGACTTCCCTCTTCCTTGACCGTGGAGAGAATTCCCTATCTGCATCCAGCATGTGCCACCTGCCTTTATGAACACAACCTGTTTTTTCTTCAGGTGGAGATCATTCTGCGAGAGTGGATTGGCTTGTGTTACACGCCAATGGCTCAGAGGAATCCAAAAGACACACGCAGCGTTGTTCAAATGATTCGTGATGGTCAGTTCAGAATTGCAAACTTCAGTGTCAACACAAAGAATACGTATTGATTCATTAAGATGCACGAGCATGGTGTCTTGTCGGGCGATGAGAAAATCTCGCAGTTCATTCGAATGTGCACCGAAATGTGTGTGTGGATGTTGCGTTGCGACTTTCTGAAGACGGATGCATCCGCACCAGTCAGTCCATCGAATATCGTGCGACAGCGATGTTACTACACCCTGGACGCGTTTGTCAAGCTGATGGCGTACGTAGTTGACAAATTTCATAGTTGTTTTTTTTTGAATTTTCCTTCCCCTATTTTCTGCTTCTCTTATTTTTTAACCGTACCCTTTAAGGTTAAAATTAAAATGGGAGTCGAGTTGTTTAGGTTGATGATCAAGTATTCTGATGGTGGTAGCGCGTCTCCGTCTGGCACGTCGAAGATAGCCCTTCGCAGAAAGTCCTTAGCACATCATCACTAGTGTGGGCCTGCATGTAGATCATTGAAGGTATCGACGGGAGGAGTTCAATGCACATCCGTACATCCGAATTATGATCAGCCCTGTTCATCGAACTGACCACTCCGGACGGATCAAACTTGGAGCCAATCGCGTGGTCAATAATTGAAGCTTTCGGACAGGTTTGGTTTTCAGCAGCTGAGAATTACGGTGTTTGGCAGATGAATGATTGTTTATGCTACTTCAGAATGCGTTGTTCATGTTGGGAACACGTCCGATCGTCCGAGCTTGCGTTATGCGTGTTGGAATTGTCGTCTTGTCATCGAGCTGCTGATTGGAGGGCTCTTCGGGAGGTAGTATTAGTGCAGCCACAATACCATACTGAAAATCCTGTTTAGTATTCGGTTCAGGTAACGGCTTCGCTGAAAGCGTTGATCCAATGAAGACGTCAGCGATGTATACGCAGTTGTTGATATGCCATCTGAAGTTCCTCGCCCCATTCCTACGAAATATTCAGCTGCCAAAATCGATAGCGGTCTTGTATAAAGGAACGCTTAGGTCAGCGACTGCTTATGCGATTTTCGACCCTTCCTGCTTGCATCTTCTTCGCTTGGCCGCTTTAATGCGGATGTCTTTTCTAGGGTTCTTCTAGTAATTCTGCATGACTTCCCGGAGTTGCTGTGCGAATATCATTACGTCATCATTGATACGATACCACCGAACTGTGTACAACTTCGAAATCTTGTCCTTTCGGCGTATCCGCGAAACACTCCCGCACTCAGCCGACCCCGTCTGCGTTGATTGTTAAGGTGAACGATTCCAAAGTTTCCCGGGGGTAAATTATACGCGACTACTTTTCGACTCTTATCAGTCCGGCTAGCTCCGTTTATTAAGCACTCTCAACACATCCCTTCTAATCCTCCGTTTTTTATGAAAGTTCACGCTGGTCCCCCAAGCGCAAACTGCTTCACACAAGACACTTCGACGTCATGCGCCAACAACCATGCTGCAAGGCTACGGGGCCACGACACAAGGCATACGGAAACCAGAATGCGGCGAGCGAGATGCACTACTAACACATTCCCCATATTGTTCAGCTATAGGAGCAATCTGCCTCTGTGGGCGTGTCCCTACGCAAACTCTCTCACAAACTTAGCCGCTTTATTTACCGACTCGCACTGTTCGAGCGGCGACGCCCCTTTCACTTTGCATCATCTGGCTTAGCCCTGGAGTCAAGACCCGCGATCCGTCGCAGGTTTCGCCAGCGCGGCGGGCGACAGCGGGGCGGGTGTTTTTGCGATTTAGCGCCGATTCATGCGACGGTTACGCGAAATCACAAACTGCCCGGATCAGCTCAAATGCCCTGACGCATTTGCCATGATCTCCACATCGGCTTTTCATATCCAGTGTCCCCTTCAAGACTGTTGAAATGAGCCCTTGCCGTTCTTGCGAACGCGTAGCGAATATATAAATACTCGTAAATCACGCGAAACCCTGCGACGCGTCGGCGACCTCTTGACCGTCAGCTTCGCCGCCGTACGCAGGGCCTTCGCCTCACTTACCGCCTGCCTATTGAACTGCTTCCCTTATCCGCAGCACAATTTGATAGCAGTAATAGTAATCTCTCTTCCCTTGTAATGTTTTCAATTACTTCTGACTCGCCATCCATCCCTCTTCAGCAGTGACTAGCCAATCCCGGAATGGCGATTGCAACACCAAAATCAAATTTGAATATGGCGTGCCATTAATTCCGCCCCGCCTCTCCACTCGCTTCGCCCCCTCTCAGACGCCCGCTCCCCCTGAAGACGCCGATCAAGCACCGTTGTTTTCCTTTCAGCCGTTGCCCGGCAGCTGCAGGTTCGTTAAAGCTTATTATTTATTATGCATGCTTTTGTTGTGATACCACTGTACGTCGTTTCTCAGAGTAATCAGAACACCTGGCTCTAAATACAACAGCACAGTGATGAATGCGATGGTGTTGTACGTTGGAATGAAGTGAGTTGTGACAATTTCTCTTATTTTTTTTGTCAGATAAGAGTCGATAGTTTAATTACTTGGATATGGAACTAATTATTGAAAGACCAGTAAAATGTAAATTATTTAGAGCCATTGAAAGCTTGCATGAGCGACGACAACGTATCTCGATTCACACGATTGCGCACACAGCATTCATGGATATTTTTCCAAAATCTCGCCTGTTCAAGGTTTGTGTACGAAGTGTTCAGTTTGTCAGCTGACTGATGTATTGTCTGTAGTTAGTCTAGACCACTTGGGAACCCCCGCCCCCCCGCCGCCCCGCTCGTCGAACATGACAAATTTGCTGCATTTTTTTGTAAATATAAATCTTCGCCCTTACTAGCGAGTAGCATTTTGTGACGCGATCTTGCCTAACTACGAGCAAGCGAGGCTTGCTTCTTTAACTTTTTTTTTTTAAATTGGACTGCTTTTAATATTTTTTTTCTTCACTAGTTGAGAAAGGTTCATGGTACATATTATGAATGGCATTGTTTAGGCCGATATCTGCTGTTCAATGCGATCGCGAATCAACTGCGTTACCCGAATGCACATACTCACTACTTTAGCTGCGTGTTTTTGTTTTTGTTCTTGAACTCGGATCACGATGCGATTCAGGTTTGTTGTGTGAGATTATGAGATTATGCATGAGTATTAATATATATGCAATTCACGTGAGATGATATGGAGGGTAGGTTACAGGGGTAGGTAGGGGTAAATTCAAGCGTTTTGGCCGCTTGGTGTTTATTTTTTCATCAGCCCGGTTTTTTTCTTTATTGAAAAGGAATTCTGTCGATAAAAGGAGCGTTGTGTGCTGCGTGAAGTACGCGTCGCGAGATCTTATTAGGAAAAAGTTTTTGTAAAAGGGTGGTTTCCCATCGCCCCATCCCTCCCCTCCCCGTTCGACTGAATTCTCAAAAAATGGAGGGTTCAAGCTTGGAGATGATGACCAGGGAAATCTCGCGCTATGTTGTGCGGGGCCATAGCTATTTCTTACTGTGGCCTTACTCCTTGTAAAGCAATGCTGTCATTTTTTTTTTTTCATTTAAGCCCTGATGATTTGTCCTGAACCCAGGCAGGGATACCAAATGGGCGCAATACTGCGCTCGAGAATATCTATCGTCATAATAATACATTTTGAAATATCTGCTCATTTAGGAACAAATCACACGCATACTCTTCGAACGACTGGTGGCATTGCGTCCACATCCGTGGGGTTTACTCATCGCGTTCATTGAATTCAAAAATCCCGTTTACAACTTCTGGAAGTACGAGTTCACCCGGTGCGCTCCTGAAATTGAGCGGTGGGTTCTGTTTTTCATTTTGTCCTCGAGATATGTGGCTTTTTCTATCAACGTTGTTACCCTTTCAGATTATTCCAAAATGTTGCGAATACGTGCGTTACGGCACGACCAGCTGATTCAGAAGCGAGCAAGGCCTAAAGGCCTGGAGTGTGATGTGCTGGAAAAGAGGAATCAGGCTGGCACTTGCTATTCCCCCAAACCTTTTTTCTCACTGTCCTTCCATGATCATTTGTTCGCTAGAAGCGCTATAACTTGTGGGGGCAAGTGATGTTGTGCGATTGTAAGCGAACAAAATGTAATTCTAATACCATTCAAGCACTCACCCGTTGATAGTCCCAAAATGTACATGTTGACGGTAGTCTTTAAGTATTTCACACCATTCAGCACCCAACATACGCATATTGTGTGATGTTAGGTGTAGGCAGTCAATAAATCGACGTGTATTTTGGCCTCAAATCATTCTACATTCGCTTTTGATTGGCTGTAATGTGACGTTTATCCGTTTATAGAAATATGAGTGTCGCAATGTTTGTGAGTGTATGGATAAAGTTTGATATGGTTTCGTCGTGTCTCGCTGTTTTTCATCATCTTCTTGTTTTTTGGTGTGTTTATAATTTGTTCATATAGCAGATTAACTATATTGAGCATAAGATCTTTTAAACGCTTGGTGAACACGCTAGCACACCATAAGCCAAAAATAGCGGTCAAAAAATGGGACAATCAGGCGCGACGCCGCGAAGCGGTTAGCCACCGCTTGCTGGTTGGCACATTATTAGAACACTCGCCCCTCATGAATAGGATTTTGCAAGAATGTCGTCGCAGTTCCACTGACTGCTTATTATACGGTAAGCTGTTGAAATCACTAAACCCTCTAAGTAACCATTTGCGATGCTTCCCTAGGATAAGCCATGCATTCAACAGACACAGATCTGTCGCTTCAATTGGGAATCCCTTTCTGAACTCTTGTGAAGATGCAAAAAACTCCATAATGAAGTGAGAGCGTTCACCCACTACTAATGGCTGCATAACCGAACGCCGCCATTGTTACGACAACTGGCCGCAGCGCGACCGCAAGCCGGGAATAGCCACGCCCACTCTGGCTTGAGTGGAATTGAGAATTACACGAAATCATGGATTACTGCCTCTCACTGGAAGAGCTACGTATGGAGATTCGAATGAAACTGCAGTAAAATGAACTTTTATTACGTTGGAATATCAATATCAACAATATCGATCCGATTTCATTTTGATCCGTTTGGTTAACAACGTCTCGTGGAGATCACCTTCCTTTTGTGCACGTTTAACTGACCTCATGTCAAAAACATCTTCAGTGATGGCACGATTCTTCGTGTCGACCTTTGAATGCTGATACATTTTCCTGAAAAGTTTGTATATAGCATACTGTCAGGAAAAAAGACCATACTATCCATTGTCCACATTAAGAGGCAACTGAGCGCGCGGTCGCGATGCAGCCTTGCAAACTGGCCAGTCTCCAATCGCGCGCGCAATCTTCATGTCTGGCGGACACAACTCTTGCAATCCCACAGAGAAAAGAAAAACGTACACATAGGCTGTAGAGCAGTCTTTGGCAGACTTTTTATCCTCGTCAGCTCGCCAGTCTACTGGACCGGTTTTCTTGGCATTGGTACGAATCTTGAAAACATGCTATATGGCAGATTTCATCCAGTATTTCCATCACTAACTCATGTAATGAGAGGTAAATAAACAACGACTAGCAGAAAAATAAACTCACATTAACCATTTCTTCATCACCAGCCTTTTTGCTGGCCACATAAATCATACCGTCCTTGTTCACGGCCATCGATAAGAACAGAGGATTACAAACTGCTTGTATGGCACTTTTTCCCTGACACAAATGAATATCAGGCCTGTTTGAATTGAATGTAAGCTTTCCAGTATTTCATGGAGTCAGAGAGATAACAGATGTGGCATAACAGCATTCAGTTGGGTATCAATTCTTTTGGGGTGCGTCACGCCGACCTATTTCCTTCAAGAATCGCTAATGGCAATTTCTTATGTTGGCTTGGGGCCTACGCCAACCACCTGGGGAGACCATCCATATGTATAAAGTTCAGATTGGCCATCTCCAGCTTGGTTTGGCCTGGATGGCGTATGCATCCAAGGCCAACCAAGCTCCCCAGGTATCGGACAGCGCGGACACTAGCCTACAATGCTTCCCCTTACCCCATTAGAAATCAACACACTCTTCAAAACAACTTGGAAGCGTTCGCGTTGTCCAATGGCTTCTGCTGTGGCAACAAGAGCACCATTCGAATCGACACCAATGTATTTCCCGTAACCGGTTTTGAAACTGAAAAGATAGGAGGAAATCTTTCCCACTCTCGCAAATGCACAGAAATAAAATATCATGGAACTAAAGCGTAAGAGCTGAATAAAAATAAAGCCTACCTTGTTTTGGGATCATCCGGTGTTTTAATCAACGGCGAATATCTTTCTGGGATTTGCGTCATTCCCGTCGCTGTGAGGTAGCGCCAATAGTAATCTACCGTTATCCATTGCAGAGAGGTAGCAGCTGTTGCCACTTCCACACTCAAAAGATACGTGTTCACCTCCTTTCAAATCTACTTCTTCCACAATTTTCCACCAACCACCTAAAAAATGACCAATATGCATAAGAAATCATGGGGTGAAGAAGCGCAACTTTAATAAACGTAGGAGTAGGCTCCTCGAGAATATTCGGTCCATTTAAAGGATCAGACCGTTTTTGGGAATTGATGCGGTCGCAAGTGGCACTCACATCGATATATTTTCGCCGATATTTCATCATTACTTTCAATTACTTATCTCAATCCTTCTCACACTTTGACCATACAGTTCAAGAGGGTTTGTGCCGGACCGTAATAAACGTTAATTTATAGAAACTAAGCGTTCCCACATTCTAAATCTAATATAGGCCCAAAGCACAATGAGGGTAATGCTTGAGTCATCGCAAGGACTATTTCCCAAAGAAAGGTCAAACAATTTGGTATATACCAAATGATCCAAATCCTTCCTAAAGAACCCAGCTTTCACATGTGATGTCGTGCTCTGCGCCAGCTTCATTCTCAAAATTTTTTGAAAATAGGAGGACAGGCGGAAACGTACAGGAATCGCACTGAGGAGATATGAAGATCGTAGAACAACAGAGCATGAGGTAAGGAAAATAAGTCCTTTTGAAAAAAAGTAGACACAAATTGATTAATTTGTTTCCCCACGATGCCGGTCTCCGATCTCCTGTTCTTGCAGCCACATTAAATATAGACGATTTAATTGTGAGCTGTGGTAGCGAATTCCAAGACTCAGACATACTTACCATGGGAGTCCGCGTCCGGATCAGATGTACTGCGTTATTGTTTTTCGATTTGTTCTTTTTCGGCTGTCTGCTTTGACTGCCCGAGACAACATATGGGCATAAGGATAAATGACTAGAGAAATGTTACGAGTTAAACATCAAACTTACACAATTTCGCCCTGCGTATTTGTTGGATTCTCATGGTAAGGAGAACAGCGCATTACAAGAAAATCACAAAAAATCCAAACAGAGGGAAAACTCACAGGTTTTTCTTGTTGCCTTTCAGTTTTAAACTGCCGCCACGCACTGCTTTATAATCGTCTGACATTTTTGAGCGTAAAATTCCTTGCGATTCGATAAAATAAATGGGGATGGCAAGGAAAGAAGCAAACAATATTCGAAAAAGAATAGCGCGCTCTAATCGAAACACCGGGCACGCTGCCAAGTACCGTAATCATTGACTGAGTATTCGATTACTCCGTTGGCCGTCAGTTTCGTCACATTTCGGATTTCTTAAACGCTAAATGGTTTCGTCCCATTTTCTATTAATTGTTTTTCGTTGCTTCTTTTTACTCTTTTCTTTTTTATTTGTTGAAGCTCGACCGAACAGTTGTGAACTTATTCCGGGAGGAACGCTTGCTTTTTGTCTTTTTGGAGATTAGGACACTTTTGACTGCTGCTAAGTTTGAGCCTTATTTCGACTATTCCCATTGTTCGTTATACCTTTGTATGGGTCTCATAAATCTCACCAGTTCATGCTTTAGTTTGTGGGCCAAGTGTTTTGACATTATTGCTACTTACACCCGGAAAATCCATTTGTGAATTTCATTTATGACTTGCCCTCTACTCCAACAGACTTGGCATGGATTGTTTGTTAACCTTCTGGGAAGTTCACGGCACTATTGCACTATTACAACCCCAGTGGGGGCCGAGATGGGTCAAAAAATAATTTTCGCTGAAACTTCTGCTATGGGGGTTATCGAGGGTCCTGATCACGAATATGACATCCATTTTTGGCGCTGGCGCCATTTGGCGCCAGCTGGCGCCACAACTGATTATCACCAAATTCGCTGTAAACTTCTGTATAGGGGTTATTTGGGGCCCTGATCACGAATATGACACTCGTTTTGACATTCGTGCTGTTTAACGCATATTTTCTGCTTTTCTAAGCTTTCTCATCCCCACCATCCTCCACTATTCAAAGGCTTAGTCCTGATTGCGATCTAATTAGTGCGAGGGCGCAGACGAGCAGGAAATAGGCGCCGAATAGCGCTAACAACAAAAACGAATGTCATATTCGTAATCAGGACCCCAAATAACCCCTATACAGAAGTTTACAGCGAATTTAGTGGGAATCAGTGTGGCGCCACCTGGCGCCAAATGGCGCCAGCGCCAAAAATGAATATCATATTCGTGATCAGGACCCTCGATAACCCCCATAGCCGAAGTTTCAGCTGAAAATTATTTTTTGGCCCATCTCGGCCCCCACTGGGGTTGTAATAGTGCAATAGTGCCGCTGAACTTCCCAGAAGGTTAACAAACAATCCATGCCAAGTCTGTTGGAGTAGAGGGCAAGTCATAAATGAAATTCACAAATGGATTTTCCGGGTGTAAGTAGCAATAAT